CGAGAAAACCTTGAGTTCTAGGCATGTTGTTGCACAAGATAATTAGTGTGTGGACCATTTTCATTTATATAGTGCTCTGTGAACACAAATTAGTTAGCATAAATCAGTTAAATGATGAAAAATTAGGTGTGTATTTACTTGTGACCACTCAGTGTACATAGTACCAATAAATTATTTTGAAAATATATTTCCTGACATGTTTTACAGACACTTGAGTATTTACACAGTGTTTCCTGACGTGTTCTACAGACACTTGAGTATTAACAGTGTTTCTTGACGTGTTCTACAGACACTTGAGTATTAACAGTGTTTCTTGACGTGTTCTACAGACACTTGAGTATTAACAGTGTTTCTTGACGTGTTCTACAGACACTTGAGTATTAACACAGTGTTTCCTGACATGTTCTACAGACACTTGAGTATTAACAGTGTTTCCTGACATGTTCTACAGACACTTGAGTATTAACACAGTGTTTCCTGACATGTTCTACAGACACTTGAGTATTAACACACAGTGTTTCCTGACATGTTCTACAGACACTTGAGTAAACACACAGTGTTTCTTGATGTAATGACATCTATCTAATAGAACCTTATGTTTGTTTTTACTGACATGCTGCTTCTTCCTTTTAGTAATCATGCAAATTTACCATGGACCACCCACAGGGAGCCTGCAGACCACAAACTGAACCACCCACAGGGAGCCTGCAGACCACAAACTGAACCACCCATAGGGAGCCTGCAGACCACAAACTGAACCACCCATAGGGAGCCTGCAGACCACAAACTGAACCACCCATAGGGAGCATACAGACCACAAACTGAGAACCATTGTTTGAACACATTAAAAAAAAAGTCTTCTCGTTTTTAAAACACTTAGTATTTTGTAAACTTTCCTGATCCTAAAGACATTTTACAGTCGGTATAAAATATCTGTTTTCAAGCTTCTAAACTTCAGAAAAATTAAAATTATAAACTGATTAAATATGTATAATGTACGAAAAAAAAATTTTCACAAAAAACTTATTAATCAAAAAGATCATTTTAATCATTATTAAACCTTTCTTTTAAAAAATAATTCTAAGTATTAAACAATGTTTTACTTTTATTATAAAATTTTCTTAGTGATCCAGAACTATTCTCTGCAGCAGCTTTTATATTCTATTCTACCAAGTTGAAAAACAAAACAAAACCTAAACAACATTTGTGTTTAAAACATCATGATGTAGCAACACATGAAAACCAAATAAAAAAAGACAGACCAATACACACCTAACAGAAAGTTTGGTAGGTATTTGCTTACGAACAAAAACCATTTGGTTTGTAAAAAATTAATCTTATAAAATTAGATCAATAAAAACTTGTTAGTATGAAAGCAACTCCATGAAGGAAAGACAAGAGAAGCAAAGTCTGTACCCTCATCGAGGCTGGCGTGAGAAGCCAGGTGTCCTGCTGGAAAAGAGGGTTCCTTCCTTACATGAGGTGGAGGGAGGTCAGGAGGGGCAGGTTCTGGAGGAGGGGGATAGGTTCCATAACCTTTACAGAAAACAAAAAGATTACAGCCTGATTAAAACTTTCCTTAGAGAAAGCAGTCTTTATCTTACAGATAGAGAGCGAAAATTTGGTTTTTAAATAAAGAAGCCCGATATTTTCTGAAAATAATAGATCCTGTTAAACCCATTTTTGTCATAAAGTTCTTATCTCTTGTGAAAGTAATGGGTCATGTTGAACATTTATTTTCTGAAGTAATATTTTTCTGAAAGTAATGGGTCATGTTAAACATTTATTTCCTGAAAGTAATGGGTCATATCGAACATTTATTTCCTGAAAGTAATGGGTCATATCGA